TGCTGAAGTGTACTCTTATTAATTTTATCAAAGCTGTTTACGTTACAATTCAACCTACATTATCAAGGTCTAAAATATCTTCATGTACTGAAACGTTTGCCGCTTCCGAAACATTTTTTAAAGGATCCTGTTATTTTTTGCAGTTAACCTTGCTAACCGATATTATTCTAAAGCCTAGTTCACGCTACGCCGGAGAAATTTGAAAACGTAACAAGCACCGGTCATTTTGGATTTGTGTTTGAGGAAAACTCGGGCAGAGAAATCACATGCATAATTACCGTCACTTCATCGTTTTCGAAAAGCTCCGTTTTCAAAATGTTTTCCGTCCACACGAAAATCTAAAGCCGGCGTTTTAAATTTCGCCGATTTCTAGAGCGTTTTCGAAAAGCTCTGTTTTCGAGTGTGGACGGTAGCGCTAACCGTAGAAATAAAGCTGCGTTTTCAAATTTCTCCGGTGTAGTGAGTGGATGGGGCCTAATTATCCATGTTATCGTAATGCATGACTGACAACTGTCATAACTCTGTCTCAAATTCAAATTTAACATCATAAATTGTAATTAACTATAAAAGACATTTCTGTCGAAACATGTCCTCCAAACCTTTCAAAACTTTGCCCTTTTCTCAATGAAGAATGCAAATATGATGAACAAAGATATTTCAACCAATTTGAATCAGAAATGTTTGATTCTTGGAAGTATGATTCTACTGGAAGTGTCCCACAATATGAACTTAACATTTTTGTTACCATGGCACCATACTGGGTTGCAGACCTCCCCAATATTTAAGGATTTTCTGGCCACATTTAGCGTCCTTTATTGATATTTAACAATGGTGCCTCATCTTCATGATCCAGCAAGTATATAAGTATGTTAGGTCGAGTTCATGACCTTGTTTAATGTTTTTGAACTGAAAATCACTACAATATTGAAATCAGGTTGGAGGGGACTGTAAAAGAGTGTGTTGCCATTGGGACGTAAACGTTTATAGGTGTTGCATTTAGAATAGCCTGCAAAGTTTCAATGGGTTCCGTTGCAAAATGATCGAGATAGCTCTATTTATATACTTAATGTAATATTTGGTTGGGTGTATGACGTCAATAGTCCTTTCATTTGCATATTCTACACATTTTTCAAACTTAAATATCTTCGGAATCAATGCAGATATTATAAAAAGATAAACCTAAAAATTCAAGGAGTAAAACTTTGATCATAGTACCACTTAAAATTAAGCAGTTATTCTTAGAGAGAATTTACTCGTGGTTTATTCAAATTATTCCATTTTTTTGCTTTGGAATGATATATGGTGCTTGGTTTTGGTGCTTTTTGGGGGTTTATATCTCCAGCTTTGGTGCATGTAGGATATTGATGTATATCCATTTTGCTGTAAGTTATCTTTAGTTATTGATGTGTCAATTAAAACATATCTTGGGCACGGTTGGCAAATGCATCTGTGGCTCATAACCTTTTAGCCCATTAGTTGTGTAGTGTAGGCAAAATACATGCATATAATATAACTTACTTAAAGCTTACTCATTAATTTTTGGTACCATTTAATAATAGCAAAATTATTAAATAATGGCACCCAGTAACAGTTCCTGTTGTCCACAATCTCAATGGAAAAAAGAACAAATTGAAATTGAATTATAAAATTATCATTGGAGGCGTACGCAAGTATTTAAGTTCAGACACAAAATATTATCTAAACCGTTTATGCCAGATTGAGTTTGCTCATACATGTACTTTGAGATGGTGCAACCCCTTTCAGCAGGAGACTATATATAAGTGAAGATTGTTAACTGTATCTTTGGGAATCAAGTTAGAAAACAGATCTTTCAAACTTTTCACATGTGTGTATTATTTTGGTATTTTTGCGAGATCCAGGAACTGGGTATATTGTAACGACTGCATTTCAGTCATACCCCACAACAAAAGATGAGCAAACTTCATTTGTGTGGGAGTCCCCATTTTAACTTAGAAAGGACATAATGATAAATAACAATGTCTTGTCTTTCTGAAGAAGGTAGGGGAAAAAAATA